CCTGTGCGACATCCCAAAGATAAAGTACACAAGATCAGCCAAAAATCTCAATTTTGTCTTATGTACTATGTATATATATTGTATAATACAAATTATAGTAGTATTTGGTTATGTTATTCCTCTGCATCTGTACTGTGTTTCTTTAATATAACTTTTTTAATATTGTAGGAAATAAACATATTGTATTATAAATATATGCATTATAGTAAAAACAGATTGGTTGATTTTGTTTAGTGGCATATGAACTTTTATAGGTTATTTAATGCCAAAATCTAAATATTTTGTACTATATGTTTAAATAATTTTGTTAGATCTATATATTTTTAATAATTTTGTTAGATCAGTTTGTTTAAATGTTCCATGTTTATTTTGTAAAAAGCCATATTATTTACCAACTATAAAAATGTGAAATTTTAACTTAACTCACAGGGTATGTGGTTTGTCAAGTATCTTTTTAAATTATGTTTCTTCTCTCATAAGAAATGACATGTGTCTAATGTATGACATTGTAGCAAACTTACATTTGTATCGAATGACATCTAGAGGTTGTCTATGATTCTAAATCTGTGGGTCATGACCTCTTACTTATTATTGCTTCTTAATTTCCATTTTTCCCCTTACTTTGAACTTAGTGTAGGCCATTGTGATTGGTTGATCTGAATATAAACAAAACAAATCCTGCTGCTAGCTCCTCCCTCTTCTTTCTTACTCTTTTTTTTCTTATTCTTCCTTTTCTTGGGAAAAGAGAGTATATCTTGTGTCTGTCTTTCTTACTCTTTTTCTTATCTTTCTTTTCTTGGGAAAAGAGGTTCTATATTGTTTTTAAATCTCAATAAATTGTTTACTAACCAGTTATTTAGTAACTTTGCATCTATTAGAGATGTTCTTAAGTATATGACATATAGTCATTGAAATCAACCTACCAAAAAACCACATTATATTACTATCTAGATTTTTGCTTGCTACAATGTGCAGGTATATTTCTATAATTTGATGGTGTTTTATAACATCAACACATTATACATACTGTAGGAAAAATGAAGGATTCACCAATTTATTAGAAATTAAATTACGATCAGCATCAATGTTAAATATTAAGTACAACAGAGTGCTTGAAACACAGAATGGAAAATTGTTCAATACATTTTTTTCATTAATATAATTTCAACCCTTTATACATATCTGAAGACATATTGACATTACAGTGTAACCCGGATATAAGAGAGTTGTCGGGACCGGAGAAGAAGTCTCTTATATCCGGGTTTGGTCTATTTTATACACAGGCTCTAATTTGGGACCAGAGAAAATCTCTCTTATATCTGGGTTACACTGTATATCATTTTAATTTGTCATAGATTTATTTTACTATTTGATGTATTCTTTATATACATTATTTGTTAGATCAAATGAGTTTTGCCATATGTTCAAACATTACTCATAATTCATTAATTACACTGATTTACAAAAAAAAAAAAGTTTCTCTGAGGTGAGCATTTTAACGTGCTGATTTTGACATGCTGAATTAAAATTTCCAAACGGTTTTGCTCTATCACATTTATTTTTTCTTTTGTGTGTCCTGTTTTTATTAAAGTGGCAGCACCAGTTTGGGTCCCAGCTATGTGCAAATAGTAAATTCCCCCAAAAAATTCAACCACATTTTTATAACAAAATCACCAGTGACATCAGTAGACAGGAGTATTACCCCCTGTAAATTTATGTTGCAAGCCATAAACAGTTCCCTGATACACACATATGGGAAAAAATGTATAGATTTAAACATAGGTTTATGCAGGACATATATCCACATTTTTATAGTTGCTGATGTGAACAGTGCTATATTAGGGACAGATTTCCTGCAAACTTTTGGCTTGATTATTAACCTAAATGGAAGGTGTTTGAAAGACCCAGTAACCCAAATTAAGGCATGTGGTGTGGTCAAGCCTGGCACTCCATTATCCCCCTCACTGGTACATAAAAATCAGGATAATGCTCTCCTCAAACTTTTGAAGGAGTATCTTTCCATTTCTGTCCCCTCCTTTCATAAGGAAGTTTTGCCTCACTCCATTACTCATTATATAGAGACAAACGAACCATGTATCCACATTAAAGCCAGGTGCTTAGTACCTGAAAAATTAAAAGATGCTAAAGCAGAATTCTAACAGATGATGAAGCTAGGTATTATTCAACCTTCAAAGAGTGAATGGTCTTCTCTGCATCTCGTTAGTAAAAGCCCCAACACATGACGTGCATGTGGCGATTTCAGAGCATTGACAAAACCTGATAGGTACCTAGTATCACACATACAGGACATAACAGCAGTTGCTAAAAATAATAAGTGTTTCACAAAATTAGATCTAATTTGAGCATACTATCAAATTACCTGTGGAGCCGGATCACATCCCAAAGACTTCCATTATAACACTGTTTGGGATAATTAAGTTTCTGCAAGTTCTGTTTGGCCTGCAAAATGCAGCTCAAACATTTCCAAGGAGACCAGGTCCTACAGGATCTGCTGTTCATCTGTGCATACACAGATGATGTACTTATTGCAAGCAAAAATATCCAGGACTATATTTGCCATGTCAAACAAGTTTTTGAATGCCTAAAACAATATGGTGTGGTAATAAACCCACTAAAGTGTGTTTTTGGACAATTCAATGTCATATTTTGGGGCACCATATCCTAGCTGAGGGGTTTTGCCATAGGTAGATAAGGTTAAATCCATACAAGATTTCCCATTCCCCACTACTATGAGACACTTACGTCAATTCCTAGGACTAATTAATTTTTATTGTAACTTTCTTCTCCACTGCGCACAAGTATTTTTGCCATTGGCAAGTATGTTGACTAATGTAAAAAAACTGTGACATAACATTGTCCAAAAAGGCAATTGCAGCATTTAACAGGGTGAGGTACGATTTGGTAGAGGCTGTAAAATTGTCACACATCCAACCTAACCAGGAACTTAGTCTGGCAGTGGATGCATCTTCCATCAGAATTGGAGTGGTCCTACAACAAGAATGTGACTTGGAATGGAAACCCATTTTTGTTTTCTACTGTCAGAGACAGATACAAGATACAGTACCTTCAGTAGGGAATTGTTGGCTTCCTTTTTCGGTAGCGTGGCAATTTCAGCAACTCTTTGAAGGTCAGCAATTCCATGTACTAACCAACCACAAATCTTTATTAGGTGCCTTGCAGTCAAAATTCGTCAAATGGATTACATCATATGATTCACATGTAATATTTGACATATCAAGGGAAAAGATAACATCCCCGCAGACACCTTATCATGTGGAATTAATTCCTTTATATTGGAACCTTCCATCAACTTTAACACATTGTTAAGGGAGCAGAAAAAGGACAAGCATCTGTTACAGTTTCTCCAGGTTAATAAAACTTCAATACAGTTTGTGAAGATCACCAATCCGACTTGCAAGGAGACGAACATATGTGATATCAACACAGGCAAGCTATGCCTATATGTGCCACCGTTCTTACACATATTCAGTGCAATGCATGGCCTATCACATCCTGGAGCCAATGCATCTGTATATTTATTAACCGACAGATTTGTCTGGCTGTGAATTAAGGCAGATGTGAGATCATAGGCAAAGATGTGGGTGAAATGCCAGAAGCAAAGATTCGTCACCATACTTATGCTCCTATAGGCACATTTCCTGAGTCAGACAAAAGATTTAAATACATACATGTTGACATTACTGGATCATTTCCCACATGTGAAGGTCAGTCCTACTTGTTTACATGTATTGACAAGTTCTCCTGATGGTATGAAGCACTGACAATGCCAGACATGACAGCATACATGACAGCCAAGACATTCCTCACTGGCTGGGTAGTGAGATTCAGTGTCTGAGAAGACATAACAACTGACAGAGGTTGACAGTTTGAGTCCAAACTAATCCACAAAATCTCAAGACTTCCAGGCACCAAAAACATTTACACTAGGTATTTACTCTGCCTCCCTACCAAGACCAAGGTCAGTTTTTAAGATGGGGATCTAAGCACCTACACTGGGCTAGGAACAAAAATTGCCTTCAGCCCCAGCAAATGTTAGTTGCACTGGCCTTGGTGCAAGCACTGATCCCTCTCTCTGGTACAATGAGAGGGTGTGGCCTTATGCAGCTGAAAAAAGTTTATTTCTATATACCTGTGGATTTTCTTTTTAACTATAGTTGAATTTCTTCTCTTGTTTCATTTCAAGATCCCCTATATGCAACATGCATCTAGGTCTGTACCTTTTACTCACTACCCCTGACAATTAATAGGTAGTTCTTTCTGTTCATTTACCTTTACAATCTTGTCTAACAGTTCCTTCAATATTCTTTCAGAGTCTGTTATCTGTGTAGTGTAGGTTGTTAAGGTTACATCTACCAGTAATAAATTCTTACCTCACTCCTTTCTATTTTGGTGTACTCATTTAATTATCTATTTGTACACAAACCATCAGGTATACATGTTTCACTTCATAATCTGTTGGAAATTCTCAACAGAATTTTATTTCTACCTGAGATATAGACAGTCTTTTCATTTCTTTCCTTTTTTGTTACATTCAGCATTCTTCTTTGGTATACAGATATGTTTTTCTCTTTGTTAGTACTGTTTTTGTCATATTCTGTGTCCTTTGAAAGAATTTAATAGCCAATACTAGGCAATGACAAAGGCTTAGCATCATTTCAATAATGCTTTAAATTTCCTCAAGATTACTAGGTGAAACATGCATTTGAAGAAGGTCTGAAAGCATACTGGTCATAACATGATGAAAAAAATATAAGGATGCTGATCAAAAAAATCATTGAATATTAGTAATATATCATATCAAGTGATTAAATAATTCTAAAAAGAAAGAATGTCTTTTTCTGTTGCTGCTGCTGCTGCTACAGAATGAATATTGAGGTTTTGAAAATATTTGAGCAATTTTCATTGACAAGCCATTTCAATTCTTAATAATAAAAAAATGATGATAAAGAAATACTTACAAGCAGAATATAACTAAAATACTTTTCATAAAAGCTCATGGGAAGATTTGATAACAACATTTCATCAGAAGAAACATCTCCAAGCATTGATGTTAGGATTTCTTCCACCTCATAAATGTCACAAAGTTTATCCATATATAAAGACAGTTTCTTTAAATCTAAAGCACTCAGTTTCATTTTCATGTTGTATTCAATTTTCTCTTCATTGCTTCCTGGAACCTAAACAATTTGCAAAAAGAAAATAACAGCATTATAAATACTGGATGGATTTGAAAAACAAAATTAAAGATTTTGATGTAACTGCTACTGATGGCATATAACCATTACAGATTTTATGATTGATGACAAAAAGAAATTTGTTGATGAATCGCATTAAAATGTATGACAAGAAATCCTCACCAAGACATCAACTGTGTCAGCTCTTTGCACATAAATGAGGGTGGATTCACAAATTGTTAGGAGAAAAGGACTTTTTTCAGTTAATCTTGTTTTAATTATAGTTTTAAATTTTATATTAAATATTGTTTTAGGGGATTATAACAAATAAATTCAAAATAAGACTTTTCAATCTGGAGTCATCCTAATGAAATATTTGAGTATCAGTTTCATAGGCTTCCTTCATACAATGACATTTGAGATAGCATGCACAAAGGCATTTTACAAGCAAAGGTTTTCAAAGAGAAAAATACACAATGGAAAATATAGCATAGATGTAGGAAATGACTAAAGATAAAAAAAAAAAGATAGCTATATGTCAACTTTCTAACTGTACAATTAACACAGTATTTTCCCGAGTTCTAAGGATATTTGTAGTTAGTCTAAAATCATATATTTTTTATTTACTTTAAATCTTTTAAAAAAAAAACAAGATAACTGAAAGATATTAAAAAAATAAAATAAAACTGAACAATGAAATATATAGACAAAAAAAAATTACAATTCAAAATTATAAAAATCAAAAGTTTTACCATTAGTGGTTGGAATTGGTTAAGAAATTTCCCAATAAACTGTTTCAATGTAGTAGCCTCATAATTTGAGTGTTTGCTGCAAGAAGCTGGTTGTGACTAAAAGAGATCAGAAATTGAATCTAAATGTTAGTTTTCTATTTCTCTATTTTAAATGAGTTTATTTATAGATATATCTTAAAAAAATTGTAAACATACAATGTCATACTCAACTGAACTTTCCACCAACCAACAAATGATTACCCCACAGTGCATTTTCAGTCTCAATCTCTTCCGTGTGCACTGAAAGCTGGAGAAGGATAGGCTGTATGCTTACAAGTTAACACAATGAAAGACAAACGTCACATCAAGAAATAAGAATGTGAACCCTGTTTCCCATATCATATGTAGATGTTTTATTCAGGGCCTCACCTGCTCATCCAGCTGAGTAGGTAGGTGGTACTTAGGATAACGTCTGCTAAGGCAGCTCTTCCCCCATCAACTACTCACATATCTACTTATCTCAATGTGGTGGCTAGCAATACAATACAAATGGTAGCTTCAGAACCATGCAACAGACATGTTTGTCGCCACTAAGAGTGAACTAGAACTATCTCTGATCCCAAGGATGACTGTTAATATAAATTAGCATCTGGATATACCCTATTTCCAGTTTTGTTGCCACTTGATCTCCAATCCGCTGCTTTACTTCCCATTCCCCTTTGGTTAAAGTGGATGCCTCTTAAAAGACTGAATTTCTAAAAGGAATCATCTCTGCTGGTCTATCAAACAGAAACACTTCAGATCGAGATAAAACAACCTCTTCCTTTTCTATGTGGGTGTCCATAGTATCACAAAGTATCAATTTCAAATCAGGATATTTAGAAAAACATATATCAATTCTTACAAAGAAAGATTTTTTATGAAACATAATATAGCAATATTTTTCAACTATCAAAAAAAAGTTAATAACCTCATTATTTACAAAAATAAACTAATCTAATCAGCACCAGTGATATAAAAAAAAAGTCAAAACTTCAACAAACTAATGTTCTCTATAAATTTCCTTGCTAATTTACAGAATTGCTTCTAATAATAATTCGCATAACATATACATTGGTTACACAATCACTACATTATCATGCAAGTTAACTTGCCATTTATCTGAGAAATTGGATATCACAAACACAACAACAAAACACAAAAGTAATCCAACAAATTCTTGTCAATAACACAAAAATATATCATATAATCTATACAAAACTCCTACCACTTATAGTTGTTTTGTACAGGTTACATGATATAAAAACAAGCTTTAATCATAAAAATGTGAGCAACCAAACATCAATAAAATTTCATTCAATTTAGGAAGAAACTTCTTCAGGTGTCTGTCAAACCCAATAACCTTCAAGGAATTTCAAACTGTACCCTTTATTTAATCTACAAGGGTAGATTGTTCTTGTTCTACTGTCTATGTCTAGATAAAAACGGTGAAGCCTGGGCTGTTGCATTGAACATCTCGAAAGCCTTTGACAGGGTTTGGAACTCAGATCTTCTCCACAAGCTGAAAAGTTTGTGTCTCCAAACACTTTTTTGAACTGATCCAGTCTTTCCTTTCAAATCATGAGTTATCCTGAACAGCCACTCGTCTAGATCCTTTTGTACTAATGCAGGTGTCCTCTTCCCCAAGGCCCCATCCTTGGTCGTACTCTATTTTTAATTCTCAGTAATGACTTTCCTGGTGACTCAACATTTTGTATCTACACTGATGACACAACAATTTACTCCCACCTTAATAGTAAGGCTTATCAGTCTAACAATGTTAAAGTGGCTGCTGATGTCCAAAACAACCGAATCCATAATTAATTGGGGCAAAAGATTGATTGTTAATTTTAACGCCTCCAAAACTAAACTTCTCTCCATTGCTGCTTTCCATCAACATGGCTGATGCTATCCTCCAGGAAAATGACACATTGCACCTTCTTGGACTCATGTTCTCTGCTGATATAAAGTGGAAAAACGATATTGAATCCATTGTAGGTCAACTGATAAGAAAGTCTGTTCACTATGTCGGGCAAGATAATTTTTCTCTCCAGAATCCATCTTGCATATCTATGAGTTGACCATTCATCCATGATTAGAATATTGCTTCCCATATGGTCCAGTGGCCCTGCTATTTACCTTGAGCTCTTGATAAGATCCAAAGAAGAATCCACAGTATTACTGGTCCTGATCTGGCAGCTCAGCTCCAGTCACTTTCCCACTGCTGTAAGTTTGTAAGACTTTCTATAAATACTTTCATGGTAATTATTTGAATGAGCTCTTCACTATGTTACCTAGAGTTTTTGAATTTAAGATTTCATCAATTTACAGTTGAACTGGCTAGATGTTGCCATAAATTATATGCTAAAAGTTTCTTCTCTTCCAATTCCCGCTTGTGGAACTCTCTTCCACCTCCATACTTTCCAGCCAATTTTAATCTGCAAAAATTTAAAATGCAATGTCAGTCGCTATCTACTGTCAACCTGATTACTCTCTTCTCTTTCTGCTCATCATTAATGTTTCTGCTTCTAATTCATCTATACTCTGTAACTCCTTGTGTTTTAGTGGCATTACTGCTTTGCTTGGGGTGATTCAGATTTAAAAGAAAAAAAAAAAAGATATCTCGCCTCTTGTTCTTATTTAGTACTGCTCAGTTATTGCTTGTCCTGTTTCTATCAAGTCTAAGTCTGTACAACTCGGCCCAGGGATTGAATTCACAATTATTATGTCACCAAATTCACTAACCAATGTTTTAATCCACTAATCAATTTTTTATGTTACTGATCTAGCACTGATAGAAAACATATTGTCTGTAGTGATCGTTTCAGTAAATGACATGAATTAATCATGCCTGGTATCTTAGAAAATAACATACTTGAAATAAATTATTTTAGTAATTCTTTTTTCACATTTAGAGTTAATCTTATAAAGAGTTCAAAGAAATATAGATATAGTTAACATAACCTTTTTTCTTCTCTTTCTACAAAAAATTATTAAAATTATTATTAGTGCAAACCCAGAAAGTCAGAGGTTATGTAGTTTAGAAAACAAAATCTTAACCTTCCTAGGAATCATGGATTTTATTTCCTTTTAAGTCATCCAAAATAATAAATTCTAGCAAAAATTTACAAGATTCATTGTTGAAATCAGTCAGAGGCTAAATATGTGTATATACATAAATATATTTTATCACTTTAAACATTATTTTTAGTGGATACTCATATCTGAATAGATGCTCCATTTATTTATTTATTAAACAGTATATTTGTTTATTTTTATCTACCAACCTGAATGTTCAAGAAATCTTATCAAAAGAAAAAATTATGCTATTTGGCAGATTATATATATATATATATATATATATATATATATATATATATATATATATATATATATATATATATTTAATTTATTTATTCAAAATTATAACATAAACATGTTATAACATCACTACAAAATGATGGTGTTGAATATAGAATAAAGAGTTTTTCCTCTTTATTCTACATTCAAAATCCACACTTGAGAAGACACCAGAAGTATTGAAACAAAATGGCTGTTTTTGTAGTGATGTTATAACATGTTTATGTTATAATTTTTGAATAAATAATTTGGTCTACTCTGTATTGAGCACTCTTTTAAGAATAGTATTTTTGGTTATTGGAATTTATTCTGTCTACACCAATCCTATACTTTTGTGTGTGTGTGTATATATATATATATATATATATATATATATATATATATATATATATGTATATATATATCATAATGAATAAAAAAAAAAAATATATATATATATCTCATAATGAATGCAAAAATATATATATATATATATATAGTAATGCATGCAAAACATATAGACACACAATGCTCTTTTGTTAGTGAAGACACAAAAACAAGTGATTTTCGTGAAGACAAGCATTTTCTTAAGCCTATATCCCAATACTTACTTTTGTAGTCACCTGCTCATTCGAATCAATTTTTTCCTGAAAGATTATAAAAAATCCACTTCAATGTTATAATTATAATTTTTCAATTCAATTTTAAACCTTGAATTACAGAACTGACATTTAAGCTTTATTACCTAAAATGTTAATTATGCAGAATTGAAATTTATAACATTAAGATATAAATATTTACCGTATATACTTGCATATCATGTGACCTTTGAAGACCTAATTCTGAAGCTAATTTGACTACAGTGAATGGATATATAATTTGGTCAATGGTGTAGACAAGTTCAGCAGTTCATATGCTAATTTTATATCTCATGCATGATGTGACCCCCTAAAATTAGCTTCAAAATTAGGTGTTCAAATGTCACAGGATATGTGAGTATATTCAGTATGAAAATTTCTACAACACCAAATACATTTGTATCATTGTTTTAACAATATATATCTATTCATACAGAAAGAAATATTGTTTTACTTTTTATTATTCTGTGCATTTGCACATTATTAAAAACAAAAAATACAGTGTTTCATGTGATATTAATTTTCTGATTTACAGTTTACTCGGAGAACAAAAAAATAGCTCCAACTTCAAACAATACATGCATATATATATATATATATATATATATATATATATATATATATATATATAAAGTATGCATGAAAAAAAACATAGACACACAAAGTTCTTTTGTAATAGTGAAGACATAAAACAAGTGATTTTCATAAGGACAAACAAGCATTTTCTTTTTTTCTTAAGCCCATATCCCAAGACTTACTTCTGTAGTCACCTGCTCATTTGAATCAGCCTTTTCCTGAAAAATTAAAAAAGAAATCTTCTTTAATGTTAGAATTAGAAATTTTCAATTCAATTTTAAGCCTCAAGCTTTAAAATGTTAATTATGCATAATTAATATTTATACCATTAAGATATAAATATTTTTGTATATTTCTACACCAAAAAATACATTTTTATCATTGTTTTAAATCTGTATATCTATTCACACAGAAAGAAAAATTGTTTTATTTGTTATTTTTCTGTGCACATCATTAAAAAGAAAAAAAATATAATCTAGTACTTTTTGTGATATTATTTAACTTCCTGATTTACAAACAATTTACTTAGAGAAGAAAAAATAATTCCAATTTCAAACAATAGAGCAGATTTCCAATTTGAAAATCTTGTCCTCACCTCACAATTGGATATTTTATTGCATTGTTTGTTTTTGTTATATTTTCAGCTTTCAAATATTTTACTTTTATAAATGGATATAAATTTATTACTTTGTGACATTACTTTGTCAAGAACTATAATCTTCAGGAAAAAATGTATAAATTAAATAAAAAATGAAGCTCTACTAAATTTAATTTCAAAATAACTGTAAATTTTCAAGGCTTGCAGAAAATGATCGAAAAGAAATATGTCCAATGATTTTTTTTTGCTGCTGCATTTTTCCTTTGAAGAAATGGATTTGCTAAAAACAAATGAAGGAATTTGGATTAAAACATTGTTTATTTTTTTTTCTTATTCTTAACTGATAATTTTATTTGAAACAGCTTACATCATAATGTATTTGTTTTTAATGTGCTATTTATCATATATATTTTGGCCTTGCCTAGATTTATAATGGATACTTAAAGGCTAGAACATGAAATGTGTCACACAAAAACTTTTTCCACTTTGTCATAGATTTCCCTAAAATGTCAAAGAAGATTCATACTCAATTATTTTTTTATGATTTTCAACATAAAATTTTTTTAAAGGAAATAAATTATTTAGTTTATATTTTTCATAATGGAATTTAATTATATTTGAATAAAATTACCTGCATAATATGAAAAGAAAATTTAAAGAAATTCAAAACTTTTATTCATCAGAAATGTGCATAACAGCTTATCTCTCTGCAAGGAAATGCACCTAATTTACATTTTCATTAAAATCAAACTATTTTCATTTTGTTCATTCTAATCAGAAACTATGTTAATCATTCTTACCTTAACTGCTTCCTTCTTTGGAACATTGGTTTCCTAATAAATAAATAAATAATGCAGTTGAAATTCTTCCACTGGAATAAACAAAGGCTTTAGCCAGAGTTCAAAAAGTTCCTATCATTCACATTAATGGAGTTTGTTTTGCTGATTAAAGTCACAAAATGTTAGATAAGATATTTAATAAGATTTTCTAATCTCTGCAGAGTTTTTATATATGATTCTGTATTTTCTCTAACAAACATATCATTCAAGCTTTTCAGCATATGGAGGGGAATAAATTTTCCACAATCACAGAATCACACATGGAAATGTGGAATCGTTAATCTTAAATGGAATTTGGATTTTTAATATAATTTTCAATAATAAATAACAAATTAATTACTTAATTTTTTTTCAGATTTTTTAAAAAATTCTTTCAAAATTTAATAACTGTCTCTCTGAGTGTGTTTACATTTTAGTAAATATAATTAACAATAACATAATATAGTTATTTCCTTAAAATTTGTTTTTATAAATTTTTGTAGTTATTTTCCTTATAAAACCCAAAAAATAATTAAGAACAAATGTTTACATTAAAAAAAAGAAAAGTGGGTTGTCATTTTTCTTGCAAACTCACTAATGGCTTGTAAGATCTGTATGATAAGTTTTCGTCTACAAGTGTGTACTTGACAAAAGAGATACACAAAACAGTTATATAACTTATGGAAGTTTTTATCTTTGATTTTTTAACACTGTTAAAAGACAAAAGCACCATATAATTTGTGAAATATCAGGAATTTTTCATTAAGAAGTTTCAAAGAATTTGAAAAAATTTTTAAATTTCTCAATGAAAGTAAAAATTAAGATTAACAGTCAAAGAATCTTCTGAACATTACTTGACACCTAAGTAATTTTTTAAAACCTTTTATGTCTAGTTTGATTGACAAAATAAACAAGTTTAAGTCTTAGGCCAAAATTTTATTTGGACCCAAATGTAATCACAGTCAACAATGTTATGAATTGTTAATAAACTGTGGCACCATTCAAATACAACAAATGATGATTAATCTAGATCAAAACAAATAATTTTAATAAAAAATATAAAAATGACCTCAGCTAATAAATAATGTAATAGAAGGATACACAACAGATTAACATTCTAAGACTGAGAAAGATGATCAGACTCAACATTTTAGGACTGATGCACATTTAGAAATAAGTTAACTCTGGAGAAAATATGACTGTGCATAGTTAATAAACAAAAAATGTGTGTGATTTTATTCTGAAGATAAACATTGACAATTCATTAACTGAATATTGATTATTTACAAGCATTCTTTGCATTTTTTATTTATTTACCTTTTGCCTTTATCATCTCATGGACATAATTTTTCAGAGATAATTATCAAAATATAATTCAATATGTGCTAGTTGGGATTTAATTACAGAAGATCACAATACCAATTTATCCAGAGATGTTAAAGATATTATCTACTAGCAACAGAAGCCAATCTTTCAAATAATCAAAATTTTATCCAAAACAAAATGACATATCAAATGATAATTTTTGAATGCTTGGTGAACAAAGTGAAATTAATAGGCAGTTTTCATTGCTACAAAAAACAAAACAAAGAATTACTTCCATGTCAAAAGCAATAAGACTTACCTGATATTCACTAGTTTCCATATCCTGGCAAAAGATTAAAAAATAATTTATGTTTAAATAACAGAACTATAATTAAAGCCATATTTTGATAGATAGATATTTAAAAAATTTTAAATAACAAAGTCATTTTGATAGATATAAAAATAACTTTATTCATGGATAAATGTATAATCCATATTCTATTTCATACAAAGTATTTTTATTTTATTTTTATAGTTAAATTACAAGAATCAAATACACTTTTTTACTTTGCTTTCTTCATTTAAAAAAACGACTGTTATTGAATAAATCATAGAAATGGAAAACAAAAAGACTGATTCTGCATTTTAATATCAGATCTAAATTAATAGCATATTGAGTTTCAATGCATAAGAAATAAATGCAATCAATATAGGCCAGTTTATGCCACTGAGGCAATTCCTCTCATTAAAAATATGGATGACAGTCACACCTAACTCTAGTTTCATGAAATACCATTCAACTCCTAAATGTCTACAGACATAACAGGAATTAAAGTAAAGGACTTTCACATTTTCAGCCCAACATACTGCTAACAGAGCTATTTTGACTGAATACAAAGATCAAGCTGTTCGTTAACCACTGTTATAGCAGGAAGAGTTTATGAAAAGAGTATGAACTAAAAGACAAAGAGGGAAAAATCAATGTTTTTTTTTAAATATTTGAAAGTAAATTTTTTAAAGTAACTAATAAAACTAAAAATAGATTTTTAAAACTCGTGTGCTAGTATGTATCATCAAAAATGCAAGTTTGTTACATGAAAAATTTATGAGTAAGACTCACTGGATTAATTCTATCCTTATAGTTTGTGATCAGAAATGATTTCTAACATTATTTTATAATTGTCATAAAAAAATAAAATTAAATTATATCACTATATTTTTTGAAAATGGTGTTTGGTTGGTTTGGTATATCAACCTCAATGGGTTATTTAATGCCGACAAGATTTTTATTGCTGGTAATATTTTTTTTCTTCAAAAATGTATTTCTGGTAATATTTTTTTCTTCAAAAATGTATAGCTGGTAATACTTTTTTATTTTTATTTTTTTTTACAAAGTATTTCTGATAATAAAACCTATTTTTATATTTTCATAATGTTTTGACTCCAGTTTGGGGGTTAACTATTTGCCCATAGTTGGGACTCTAACAGGTGCTACCACCCCAGGCCAGGACGGACCTGGAAACACCAGCAATTAAGAGGTGGTTCCATGTTCCTCAAAACCTCCTGATCATTGCCTTGCTGCCGGACGTAGTTTATCATCTTACCCAGGACAGAAAATGGTGTTCACAAAATATTATGTGCATGCAAATGTTCCCAGTACTCTTATTTGAAAATGAGAAACATTTACACACCCCATATATATATATATATATATATATATATATATATATATATATATATATATATATATATTTTTTTTTTTTAGCATTACGCCCAAAGCAAGGCGTGAAGCCACTAGGATGCAGGGGGTTGCAGAAGATTTGGAGCGAGAGCAGATAGGAGAGATAGAAGAAAGGATGAGGAGAAGGATAGTGGGAAGATCAAGGTAACTGGAGGTGTCGATTGACATTACATTTGAATAGTCGGAGATTATAGCTCTCAGGGAAACTAATTGGGAAGGGTGTTCCACAGGCGAGATGTGCGAGGTATGAAGCTATTGAAGTAGAAGAGACGGCTACATTTAAAAGTTTGTACAATGTAAGGGTGAGAGCAGGATGCCAGCCTCATGGGGCACTTGAATTCATGAAGTCTGGGGACCAGGGAAAGCAGCCCATCGGAGCAATTACCATGAAAGTATTTGTAGAAAAGACAGAGAGAGGCGACGACGTGTCTGTGAGAGAGTGACTGTAGATGAGACACCAGATCAGGGCCAATTATATTACATATCCGTCTCTGGATCTTGTCAAGAACTCCGAGGTAAACAGAAGGTGCCCCAGACCATATATGGCAGCAATACTCCATGCAAGGGCGAATGGTTGATTTGTATATTTGAAGTATTGATCCGGGGAGAAAAATTTCCTGGTGCGGCACAGAGAGCCAACTTTCCTCGCAGTGGAAGAAGCAATTGACTCAATGTACTTGTTCCATCTCAGGTCAGCAGTCAACGTGAGACCGAGCAAATGCAGGGAGTTGCTCTCAAGAAGTTGACTATCAGACATTCTAATGGGGGGCAGGGAAGGATCTCTATGGTGATTAATAGAGAGTAGTTTAGTTTTTGAGGCTTTAAAGTTGACCAGACAATTCTTGCCCAATTAACAACCGATTGGAGGTCCATTTCAAGACGCACAGCCAGGTTAGTTTTGTCACCGACACTAGATTTGTTTTTGAGGCAGGAGTAAATTGTAGTGTCATCCGCGTAGATGCCAACTTGGGAATCTATGGTGTCAGGAAGATCATTGATGAAAATAAGGAATAGAGGGGGGCCAAGGATGGAGCCTTGGGGAACACCTGCGTTCGTGGGATAGGAACTGGAGGAGAATCCGTTGAGAACGACCTTCAATTCATGGTTTGACAGGAATGATTGTATTAGATCAAACAATTGACCTGTAATACCATAACCCTGGAACTTGCGAAGAAGGCCAGCATGCCAAACCCTATCAAACACACGAGCCTCACCGTTATTTTGAAGGGTTTGGTAGATGGTTTCAGTGATGGCCGTAAGCACATCAGCTGTAGATCGGGCGTAGCGGAAACCATATTGCTTGTCTGAGAGAAGATCATGGGATGTAAGGTGGTTAACCACTTCGGCATTGATTAGGGCCTCGAAGACTTTGCCGAAGAGGAGTAGGAGACTAATAGGACAGTAATTAGAGGGGTCAGACGGGTCTCCAGAGTTCTTAAAGACAGGAACAATGGATGAGGACTTCCAGCAGTCAAGAAAACAGGATTCCTTGAGGCAGTAATTATACAGTTTAGAGAGAGTGGGCGCTAGCTCAGGCGCGCATTTCTTCAAGACAATGGCTGGTATGCCATCTCCACCACTAGCCTTGTGGGGGTCTAAATTGGAGATAATGCCTAGTACCAATGACGGGGTTATGTGTAAGCCACTCAATAGGGCCTTAGTTCTTAGAGGGAAGTCTGGTATGGGCACACCAGAGGAGTCGAGCGTTGAATTAAATGAGAATTTCCAAGCAAAGCATTCAGCCTTGTCGGTAGAGGAGGTCAAGACCTCGAACTGGTTGAAGAAAGGAGGTATGGAGGGTTTTCTACATAAAAGGTTAATAGTCAGAGTTGAATCAGACCAGAAAACAGTAGTATTAAAAAGTTCTCAATACACATGTGAAAAAAAAAATAATAAAATAAAAGTAAAAAATAATATGTAGAGCTTTTAACTTTAGAAATCAGGAGATCAGTTGAATCTGCTACCTTGGTTTCAACTTTATGGTATCGTCAGGCGATTTTTATCAATTGACCTCCCAACGCTTTATTTTTAAAAAACTAATGAATGCTATATTATTTTTAAAAAATAAACACACAATGTTGGGTGTGATAGAAAGGGAGGAGGAGGAGGATATGAAGAAGGGAAGAGAAGAAAAATGAGGGTATTATAAATGTATCGGTAGAGGCGGTAATTGAAGTGTGTGTGTGTGTGTATATATATATATATATATATATACATACATACACACATATACATGCACACACACAGCCTGTTATTTTGTAGCAATATTTTCTTCATATTAAAAAAAGCTTTTTAATTGAACAACAGACATGTTAGAAGAAAGGAAATTTATGATCAAGTCTTCTTGGAAATAAGAAAATTAAATCTAAAAATATTAACACTTATCAATGCACAAATTTTCTTGAATATATTTAAATTTTAATTTATAATTAAAAATCATTGTTACAAAAGATACAAAAACAAAAGTATTTCTTGTTTTGGATTAAGAATTAAACATTATTGCCACTGTTCAAAATGATTGATGAAGTACATTATTCCAACCCTATGTTCAGATGTACATCACATAAAAGGGACTATATGCACAAATTTGCATTTTCATCTTTAAGAAAGTTGAACAAAAATTTAAGGGATCTCAATATGACACATGGTCAGCAAGTTAATAATTTTGTTAGGCTGTCTAAGAATAAATGTTTTTAAACATAATGATCTTTAAATGCTGAATAATATGTTGCAAATGTTATTTCGTGCATAGAAGATAAGTTACATGCTTTCTGAACTATTTATAGAATAAATTTCACCTGCTTCTACAAAGCAAGAACAAAGACTTTCCAATGATCTTCCTTGGAAGGAAAACAACCAAAATACAATTAAATATCAACCAAGTTACAGCCCTATTACTGAACATATAGGTCAATGTTGGATCCAAAGGTTTTGATACAGAGATTGAAGGATAAAAAGACCACAAATGAAGTAAACTTTGTATAACAAGGTATTAAAAAACAGTGTTTCTTAATACCTTGTTCATAAACAATAAAGAACAAATTAATGAATTGTCTGAACATCAACAAAAATTGATAATATTTTTCTACTAATATTTTTTAAAAGCAGGAAATTGTAGAAAAAATTACTTGAAAATAAGACAGTGATCACATTTCCTTTTGTACACTTTGTGGCATCACATGACCAAGTTATGTTGATGTGGCTTTGGTCATGGAATACAAAAGAAAAAGGTATTTGTGTGGGGTATATGTAGATGCTCTACTTTTTACCTTTCAAGCATTCAGTGCTTCAGTATGGGACAGGAAGCTACAATCCTCATAAGTATTCAGATAATTTGAAACAAGTGTAATATATTCAACTTTATCATTTGTTAAAATTCCTTATCCTTCTCCATTCTACCACCAAATAAAATAATGGCTGTCAATCAGTGAACAAGAAGTTATATTATATTTTTCCATATCTAACCACAAGACTAAAAGATCACTGCTCTACAGCCTTCCTCTATTATTTATTCATGATTATGAAACAATTGTTATCAGTTCTGCTAAATAACAAGAAAGCATTCAAATGCTCACCCAAAGTTTTGCAGCAACCTGAATTTCAGGTAACAGAAGAGCCATAAAAAGTAAACAGTATGTCACTTGCATCTTTTTCTGAAACAAAACAAAAACATTGAAAGACACAAGTTAGCCAAAGTAGATAATCTTTACATCATAAACTGAAACAAGAAAACTGTTTTCTGAGATGGAATTTTTCTGTTTAGATATTCAATGAATTTTATATTGAAAGAAAAATTGAAGTTGCTATGTGCAAAATTGATCACTAGAAACTTTCTTCAGGAATGGAATGAAAAAATGGCTAAAAAGTCTAGAAAAATATGTAGCACTAAATGATGAAAAAATGTAATTTTGCAAAGAAATAAATTTACTTCATTTTGATACTAATTTGAATTTCATTATGTTATTTTATAGAATTTCAGATCATATTTATCAATCAAATCAGTATTTACTTCATTCATTTTGACATGTTCAATTTGTTCTTTCAATGTTTGTCAACTTTTTTATTCCATTACAACTAGTTGAATGTTATTTGTTAAATCAACAATTTCCTAAATCCATTTTCAACCCACTTCCATGAGTCACATTTTCTTGCAACTCTTGCTTGCTGGAGAATAACTTGATGATTTGTTGTGATTTGTTTAAAATAATATCAAGTAAATTTATTCCTTACTAGTGGTAATTTACTCATCATTTGAGTTAGTTTTTGAAAAGATGTTAGACAATGTTTGAATTTCTGGGATGAGGTGTTATCATTATTTTCATGTAGACTATTGTCCTTATCTTTGTTATCACAACGTTTCAGCCATTGTATCCTCCCGCCTTCATCAGGTATATGTTGATCCAGGTAATTTCAAGTTGAGGCATTTGGGCTAGAGATTGTTCTCCCTCCACTAGCCATGTCTAGGGTTACCTTATTTTAATTTTAGTACTGCTCAGTTATTGTCTCGTTTGGTCTAAGTACACACTGACTGGTCAAGAGATTGAGTTCACTAATGTCATCAGTTTTATGCAAAATGATCAAATTAAAATAGCTCCACATGGCTTCAAAAGAAGACCAATTAAATTGCATCTAAGAATTGGACGTCTTAAAGTGGCTGAGAATAATTTAAAAATCTCTTGGATAAAAAATTTTAATTGTTAAAGCATTTATTTTGCGGATTTTTATTTGATGTAATGTTGATGATGATTAGATTATCGAATTCCAATTTTGTACAGTTTTATGCACTTTCATCTAGATCACCTTTAAACCAAACAAAAAAAACTTAGTATTTGCGACAAGTGAATAGTAAGAATATGACAATTCAAATTTTATTTATGTTATTTTTGAGGGAAATTGAAACAAACAAAAAAAACTATTCAAAAAGGATAAGTATATTTTCCTTAAAAGTGAAACATTTTGAAAGTAACATTTCCTGCTAACTAGGGGTAAAAAAAAACATTCTCAAAAGTAGACTTTAAAGTTCAAAATTTCGACAATATTCAAAAATTGATCTTCAGAAAAAAAAATAAACAATTTTGCTCTGATACTTTAAAAAGTAATTGAAATAAATTTTTAAAAATCGCTTGAACGTGAACATTTCATAGATTAGAAAAGTATTAAAAAAAACGAATAAACAAGCACTTGAAAATAACTTATGCTTTGTCGCAAATTAATGAAATGTTAAACAATAAAAATAAAATCAAAATAAAGAATTTAGTTTTTTAGTTTCAAGGTGTGGGATGAAAAGAATAGGCAATGTAATAAAATAAAATAATAAACATTCTCACTTTGTTGATTACCTTTGTTTCTCAGTGAAAGAAAAAATGCAATTCACTTTTTATTCAAATTGCGAATATAAACTGAAAGTAAATAAAGAAGTATTTCTGGAAATTTCAGTCTCAATTACTAAAACTTTTAAACGGTGTAACATGAAATAACGTCAAAATTGTGGCCATGGCCGGCGGTGCACAATGTTTATTTTTCTCCGTCATGAGAATATTTTTTTAGGAAACAAACAAATCAAATAAAAGAAAACGATTCATTAGAGAGAAATAATGCGATATAAAATTAGTTTCCTCACGCGGCAAAACTGATTTTGAATTTTTAATCCAAAAACATTAACAACATTATTATTTTTTTAATTATTAACAAAAAAAATAACTGACCTGTATCAAAAAATCGAAATTCGCGTATGCGCTCATGCAGCAGCAATGTCATGACATTAAAAAAAAAAAATCACACAAAAATATTTTTCTTGTTTTTCTATATTACATGTACATTTTTTAAATTAAAACTTGTAATCACCAATTCGACGTGGTGACTTTGATGACACTCGATGTTAATTAGTTTCATGCTTCGCTAAAGATCAATTACGTACGACGGTACGAGTGATTTTGAATCTCACCAGGTACCCCATACTTGCGGCCTGATGCCACAAGCTACGCTTTTTTGTTTGTCTCTCTTTACTTTCTGTGTATATAAAATAAATTTTTTTTCTCTCTCGTACGGGTATGTCCAGAGTCGATGGCTTAAATTTTTACCATATTATCTCTATTATTATTTATTTTATTTTAAGATTATTGATCCAATGGGGAGAGGGAAATTAACGCGGCTATATCAGATCGGAAGAACATGCTGTTATCCGCGGTCATGGTTTTTAATTTTATTCTCTGAAGAAAAGAAGACTAAAATTTACCGCGTGATTCAATTTCTCAAGGACAATTTTTAAATGTTCATTAGATTTAAATTAAAATAAAATTTAAAAAATACGATCAATTCTTGATGGTTAGTAATTGTAACTAATAGCTAAGTTAGTGATAGGACAGAGAAAACCTGCCCTTCCCTTCGCACGTTCTTAGAACTCGTGTTATATTTGTACATTTAAGTCAAGTGCAATAAATTCAACTCTAAAAAAAAAATTGACTTCAGTGGCAATAACTAACAGAACTGCAAACATTTTCCTGTTTGTTGCTATAATAAGCACGTGTTGTTTAATTTGTTTTTGATTTGTCATACGCAGAGTCAATAAGCCAAAACTTGTCAAAAGTTCAATGGAAGATTTTCTGTACTAAAAAGATGTACTGTTCTATTTATTGGATTGACATATTGAATCAAAGTTTATGAAATAATAAAATATGTTATTGTTTACATCGTCAGTGTATTGATTTAGCAATGATTTCTGATTGGCTGAAATTTCAATTGGCACTTTCGAATTATTTAAAATATAAAAAAAATCATTATCTATTTTTCAAAATAATAATTTATATATTAAAGTTACATTTAAATATTTATTTGTATTTTGAATCATAGTTATTAAATTTGTTGTTTATTAAATTTTAAATAGTTACAAAAATAATCACCTATCTTTACTTCAGTTGAGCATTGCACTTCAGGGTTAGGAAAATATGGCGTCACGTCTTGGTAACCTTTTCCGTCGGAGCTTCGCTTCTCATGGACCTTCTGCAACTGCTGGGGATCATGGAGGTAAAATTTAAAGATATAAATCATCGAAGCTTTCTTTGTTACTGTTACCTAATTTTTAGCGTCAGTATTGGAAATTAGCTAAAAGATTTTACAGTATTTTTCACTCCGCCGCCTTGACTTTTCTTTTTTGGCCTTTGTTACCTTAAAAATTATTATATGGAATTTTATTAGTTCTAAGACAAATTTATTTTCTTTCCCCATTCACCGTGAGTTATAATTTGCATGTTATGAACCATTGAATATTTCATCTTCGTGAAATTCTTATAATTGTTCTTTATTAAAAAAATACTAGTTAAAGCTTGACCATAGACGTAGTTTTGACCTTGAAATGGTCATGCTCTATCTCAATAACAATCATCACGTAAAAAAGTTATAAATAAAAATGTATATAAAATATTCTTCTAATTTATATTTTTCACTAATTATATATATAATATGAATTTCAGTAGACTTCCTTGTTGGTATTTTTATTTGCTCAGCAATCATTTATTTTAATTATGCAAAATTTGGTGACATAAAAAAAAAATCATATCAAACTCGCTATTGGAGTCCGTCGTAATAACTTGTATTAAAAATTAACTTTGGTATCAAAATGCTTAAAATCTAAATTTTATAGTTCAGTGTCTATTCTAAAGCAGCATTGCGACATTTTTATTGACTTACACAATAATCGATGAAAAATAACGTAATGAAGGATCTATTTTTTATTCATTTTCATTATTTTACAATTAGTATTCCTTATCGACTAACACTGAAGAAGAAAAGTATTTTACTCTTTTATCTCTAAATTTATTCTTATTTACCATTGTCAATAATTCAAACAAAATGGAACACAAGGTTATTTGACATTTATATATTCTTCTTAGCGATTTTTTTAACCTGGCCTGTTTCAGGTTAAAAAAAAAACGATCGAGCCACATATTTTTTTTTTATATAATCTACCATAAATTGATAAACAACTTTTTAATGCCTGTGATTATAATGACAATTTACCTTATTTTCTTCATTTCCATAAATTTCACAGTTTCTTCTTACTTTGTGTCAAAAAAAAAAAAAAAAGTTTCCTCGTATAGGAACAGATATCAGTTAAGAAGAGCTTACAAACAAGTTACAGTTAGATGATAAAGAAAAAAGCTGACATTGAAGATAAAGGTTAACTACAGCTGATTATAATTTTTTAAGAGTAAAAAATTAATTCAATCTAAATTGCAAGAATCCCAAATGATAAAACATTTCACCTTCTGCATCTAAAGCTTGCTATACACAACAAATAATTCTTTATATTCCTTGTGAACATCTAGGAAAAAGAAAACCTCACCTTCACATGTTTATAAAGTTATTTTTCAACAAATTTTCCTTCATGAAAGAATAACTAAATTAAATTTGCTGTAGTTTTCCTTATTTCATAATAATTTGAATATTTGATACTGAAATGAAAAGTTTATTGTAAGGTGAGTGTCCATTGGAATAAAACCAATGCCAAATGTTGCCATATTTGGCCACAAAAAATTAAATTTAATTGGAATGAAGTTTTCAATCCTAATGAATAGAAAACAAAAGTTAAACATCCAAAAGGGAGTCAAAAGATCTGTTGAAATCTGGTAGTTCTAGGACTCCCCTCTCTTGCATTCATCCTGGCTTGGACTGAGAAATCTGAGTGCCAAGTACAAATTCCAGTCGGTTTTGTTACATTTACTTAAATGCAAATACCCTTGGGAAACTTATGAACCCATTCGTCCCCAACTTTCTGTTAAATAGTAGGATTAGTACCTGGAAAAATCATTATTTTCAAATTGTTAATGCAATATTCACTCATAAAAAAAAAAAAAAAAAAAAGTTATTCTTACAATCCACAAAATATGTTTCAATTAACTCGCTAAGGGTTGATAAGCTGTAAAGAACAAATCAATTAATCATTTGCATTTTAAACCTGAACTCTGATTTTTAGTCTGCAAAAAAAGAATTGCTCTTCAAAAAAATAACATTTGTTTAGTCATTTTAGATATTGTGAAATTGATCAGGCTTAAAATTTTTCAGCACTTTGATTCAAATATCATTAAAAGATTAAAAGGGCTCTTTTTTCTTTTTTTTTTTCTTTTTTTTATGACGTTCATACACAGATTGTGTTGAATTGGCTAGATGAAAATATCTTGAAAAAGGAGCTTTATATCGAGTCTCTTCATACTGTCAAATTCAAGACATTTTTGTAATATCCTCTTTTCTATTTTTATAGGTATCTCCAATTTTCTTCATAGCAACTCAACACTTGAGCAAAAAGAGCTATGAAACATGTCTAAAAAATTAATTTTATGGCCAATTTTTTCTAATCAAAAACAGAAAAAATGAAAAATATTCTCCTGAATATTATTTATTTCAAGCAGAACTGAATATATTTGTTTAAAAATGTTGTTTACTGTGTTTAAAACTGTTGCCATAAAATGATTGCCTTTTTTAGCTCATAAAAATGTTGATTTTAAAACTCTTCTAAAATTCATGTAAATTTTGTTAATAAAACTTAAAATTTATGTAAAAGAAAAAAAGCTTCTTTTTTTTTTTTTTTTTTTTTTTTTTTTTTTTTTTTTTTATCACTTATTTTATTTTCATGCTTCCCAACTTTTTAATTTGAGGATTTTCAATTTTACATTGACATTGAGATATATCCTTTTGAGGTTTAAAATTAATTCCTTGAAAAATAAATACTGAAAAATTTTCTGGAAGAAAAGTCAATTTGGTTGCCATACTCTGGAATTTAAAAAAAATAATGTTCCATTTTGAAGATTTAAAAAAAAATTTACCTTTTTATTGATATTCTAGAGCTATTATCTAATGAAAAAAATTAAATTATTTTTGATATTTTTTTCTGTTTTTAGAGATGATTTTGTTATTTTTGATATCAAATTACTAATTTTAAAAAGTCTTTCTTGAAAATCTTTTAAAAGATGTATCAGTTTGGGTTTTGTTTTTGAAAATTTGATCTTCTTTAATAAACAAATATGCAAACATATTGTCTCCAAATATTTTTTAGATATTTTAAAAAAATATTACAACTGTTGACTGGATATCATTGACAATGGGTGTGTGCAAACTCAATTATTTTTGCTTTTCACTTGTTATCCTTCTTGCACTATCTTTATCATAACCTTATAATTGTATATCTCCTACAGTGAAAAGAATTTTCTACAAAATTTGTTGAATTAATCAATATATTACAGGGTTATAATAGTGTAGGTAGAGATATATATATATCATACATGGAATTTAGGTAAATGCAGTGTACTGTTTAAGGGACCAATCTTAAATTTTGCAAATAATAATTATAAAATGCTTTATTTTACAGCTGGAGAAAACTATTCAATTTCAAAATATAACCCAGGAAGAGATTATTTAAATAAGGATTTATTTTTGTAAATTAAACTTCCATGTAAAACTTTTTTTTCTGGTTACTTC